CAGTAAATGGTTCAGAGGCATAAAAAAAACAGTCAGTGAGAAGGATTATTGGAATTCTAGGAAAAGAAGAAAGGGTGCATGGGCAAGAGAAGAGATTTGGTGAGGAATGTTAGAGAATTTTCCAACACTGATGAATGCACCAAGAAGCAGATTTAAGGTGGCAGTTTCTTATAAACTTCCACATACACTTTCTGTGTGACCCCCCCAATCCCACTTCTGGGCATTTGCCCAGGAGAAATGAAAACAGTGGCTACACAAATACCTATATGCAAATACAAATGTTGTGCCTTTATTCATAATCACCTAAAACTGAAAATAAAGTGTCCTTCAACTGGTGACAGGCTTGTATTAGCTACCTATTTGTGTAAAAATGACCCCCCAGAACTTAGAGGCTAAATACAACAAACAACGTTTATTTCATAGTTTCTGTGGGTCAGGAACCTGCATGTGGCTGAACTGACTGAGTGCCTTTGTTGCAAGGTCCCTTGTGAAGCAGCCATCAACCCTCATCCAAAACTCTAGTCATCTTGACACTTGATCAAGAGGGTCCATTCTTAAGATCTCTCACGTGCTACTAGCATCCCTCAGAAGATCCACTCCAGGCTCACTCACACAGGCTGCTCCATAAGAGTGGCCTCACAACAGGGCAGGTGGCTTCCCGCAAAGCAAGCAGTCCACAGGAGAGCCAGAAGTAACACCCATGATGGAAGTCACAGCCTTTACACAGCCTACTCTTGGAGGGTACATCCAGCAGCTCTGCTACGTTATGTTTGTTGGCAGTTATAGATTCTGTCCACTCGATGGGAGGGGATTACGTGAGGCTTGAGTGCCTAGAAGTAGACCCATCGGGGACCATTTTGCAGGCTGACTAGCACGTGGAAAAACTCTGCAATAAAAAACAATGAGCTTCAATTGCACATGACAAAATAGGTGAATCTCAAACACATTGCACTAAGTGAAAAAATGTAGTGTCAAAAGATTGTAAGTGTGGTCCTCACATCTCTGGCCTTTGGTAGAGAAGAAAGTCTCCTCCCTACCGTTGCTGCTCCCTTACTGACGGGATGTAGCAGAGGCCAGGCCAGAACTCAGTCTTCTGGGAGACGGGGACCATTAGTCACAGATAAAACCCAGGCTGGCTGTTTCCTTAGAGCACGAGACGTCACCAGTGCACAGAAACCCCCAGATAAGCAATCAAAGAATATTATTTTCTCCTGACCTTGGAATCAAAAATTCTGACATTTGCTAACAAGTTTAATAAAAGCATTATAATTTTTCAGGGAAAGAAAAGAAAAAGACTATAAGTGTGATTCTATTTATATGACATTTTCAAAAAGGCAAAATCTATAGGACAGGGATCAGATGAGTGGTTGCCAGAAGCTGGATGTGGTAGCAGAGGATGGACCGTTTTCATAGTCCATTCGGGCTGCTATAACAAAATGCCATAGACTGAGTGGCTGATAAACAGCAGAAATGTATTGCTCGCAGCTCTGGAGGCTGGCAGTCCAAGATCAGGGTGCCAGCATTGTTGGCTTCTGGTGAGGGCCCCCTTCTAGGTTGCAGACTGCCAACTGCCCACTTTCACTGTGTCCTCACATGGTAGAAGGGGCGAGAGAGCACCATGGCAACCCTTTCATAAGGGCACTAATCCCATTCATGAGGGCTCTACTTTCACAAGCTAATGTCCTCCCAAAGGTCACACCTCCTAATAGCATCACCTTGAGGATCAGGATTTCAACATAAGAATTTTGGGGAGACAAACATTCAGACCAACTGCAAAGGGGCACGTGGTGCTATTGACAAACAGGAATGCTTGTGTTCCTATAAAGTCATAGATGTGTACAATTGATAAGGGTGAATCTTTCTGTCCATAATTGTTACTTTTGTAAAATAAAAAAAATACAAAGCCTGAATAGAATAAATTTAAAAAAAAAAAACACTCCTAAGCATATCATAGCGAAACCTTTGTAAAACAGATACCAAGCATGAATCTTAAGCAGCCAGAAGTGAAAAAGACTAACTACCTTCAAAGGAGCAGCAATTGAAGTCCAAAGACAATGAAATAATGTATTTAACATAATCAAGTAAAATAATTGCCAATCTAGAACTTTTATAAACAATAATAATAACAAAAAAACTCCTGTAAGAATGAAGAAGAGTTAAGATATTTGTAGAAAAAATAAAAACTGAAAGAATTTAACATGAGCAGAACCAGAATGCTCAGAGATTCAAGAAGGAATAAAGGACAATTTTTAAAAGTTAGTGAGGTCAGGAGAGGGTAAAAAAAGATGTTTAATTTTATACACTGATAAATCAAACCAGCAGGTTATGATTTCAAAGGTAACCACTGAAAGAATAGTAGTGGGGTATATAATTTTCAAACTAATAGAAGGAGTAAAATAGAATAATAAATTCAGTCAACCCAAAAGATGGCAAAAGGGGAGGAAAATAGGAATACCTGAAAGATAAGACAAATAAAAAGGTCTTAGATGGTAGACATAAAAGCATATATAAAAACAGTTAAACTTAATCGAATACCATTAAATTTTAAATGGCTCATCTAGTGTAAGTTCACATTAAAGATACATTGATTAATACAATATTTCTAAGCCTAAGATTTCTAAAGAACATGTAAAACATGAGGATACTGAAAGTTGGAATGTAATGGGATAGAAAAAGAAAAGATATATCATGAAAATATCTAAAAACAGCAGTTCTCTTTATTTGGAAAATAAAACTTACATCTCTTACACACACACAAAAAATATCCTTTTAACTAATGACAATAAAAATATAACAGAATTTGCAGGATGCTGCTAACATCTTAATCAATGGAAATTTATAGCTTTAAATATATTGCAAAAGAAGAGAAGCTGAAAATTAGTGTTAAAAATGTCAAGTTAGGGCTAACCGAATGGCATGTTGGTTAGGAGTTGGCTTGGGACGCCAGCTCTGAGCAGCAGGGCCTGGCTCGGATCCCACATATGAGGGCCAGTGACGCTGTGCCCTCTACAGCTAAGATGGTTAACAACAGCTTGACCTGGAGCTGGGCTGCCGTAAGTTGCTAGCGACGGCATACACCGCAGACCCTGCTGCAGTGAGTGGGCTGCTGTGAGCCACCGTGAGCGGCCATCCAATGGCTGGTGACTGATCTGCTTCACCCAGGAAGAGCACAATGATAATATCAACATAGGCCAGTGAAGCGATGTCCTCCACAACTAGACTGAAGAACAAAAGAACAATAACTTATCTGTTCCCCTTCCCCGTTTCCCCAACGCTGTTCCCCTCCCCCAATTCCCCAATAAAATCTTAAAAAAAAAAGTCAAGTTAGAAACAGAACAATAAATGTAACATCAAGAAAATGTAAGGAAAGATGTGCTAAAGATAGGACATGTTATAGAAATATAAACAAGCAACAAAGCCAAGAGTTGATTCTTTGAAAAAAAAATATGCCTTTGAAACATTAATAAATTGATAATTCTCTTACAAGGGCAATAGAGAAATAAAGAAAGTGGGCA